ACTGAAAACTATTATTTATTACTTTATTATTTTTGAAGGCTTTAAAATGTAATCATCCAATTGTTATGTATGAAGTTACATTATCAATCCAAAGATTAGTAAATAAATATGGTGCTGAGTTATGGGATCCCACATGGAGCATCATAAACTAGTAATCAGCCTGCAACTAGACAAGTTTCAGTGAGTTTGCACGAAACAATAAACAGCATTGAAAATTTACTCGATAGTAGTCATTATAATGGTTGTATTCAACGATTTTACGATCTCATCGAACGTTGTAGTGATATAAGACCTGTAATTATTATACTTATAGAGTTAAATATGTTCCTTAATAAAAGTGTAACATTCAAGTTTGTTATTAGGAAGGTTCCGTTTTGAAATTAATTGAGTACCGAGCACGCACTATAGGACCTACTCACTATCAATGGCAATCTAAATTGGCAAATTTAATGGAACGTTATTACAAAATTGAAACACGAACCAGTATTAGAATGAAAGTTCTTGATGTTTTAACAAATGTCATTCAAGTTAATAGGTATATTAAAATAGTTTTATTTAAAAATTTAAGTAAGTTTGTTAATTTAATTTCCTCTAAACAGATCTAGATATGAAGACGAATTAATTGAACGAATAATAGTGCCATACTTTCAACATGTTGATTTGGATTCCGATATTATAATTCGTAATGGTGTTGTATATTTACTTGTTGACATCTGTCTTGAATGTGATACAAAAAGATGTTTAGAACTTTTAGATATACTAGAGAAGGTATTGAATCTTTTACATTAAATACACTATTTTTAGTATATTTTTAAGTTAAAACTTATAAGTAAATATTTTGAAAGGTGATCAACAAGCCCTTCACTTCTGACACTCCAGTTACAAAAGACGCAGATATTAAAGATGTAAAGACTGCAGCTGTTGGTGTAATAAAAATATTAATAGCAAAAATTTATTATTTGCCTTCAAGTCATGCTATACGTGCTTATAAGGTTTTAGTCAATCATCTGGAACAACATTATAAAGAACCATCTGTGTTCCATGATGTTTCTACAATTCGATACTTGGTAACAAATACATAATAATGGTGTACAATACTTAAATTTTAATTTTTTTACAGTAGTACTATTATAAAATTTTACCGTATTTTAGATTTTTGAGTGTTTCTTAAAAATTAGAGCGAATACGCTTTATCATCTTGGATTTCCGGATGCCCAAAACTCGTCCGTGACAAGGTTTAGTCCATATTTAGTTTTAGAACATGCAACAGCTGAACGTATGAATAGTGGAGGAGGTGGTAGTAGTCCTCCACCAGTCAGTCCAGCTCCATTACAGCACTTATCTTGTCAAATTACTCATATGTCACTAGCACATGCATGTAAAGCTGTTATTTCCTGCATTAAATTGGAAAAAGGTTTATATCATCTGTACTTTAAATAATACTATAATCATTCGTACAAGAAAATTTAAAAATACAAATTCGAATTTATCCTGTTATTACAGATTGGAAAGTTTTGCAGCTTGTATTGAAAGAATTACCTCAAGTAATGCAAAATAGAGCATTAATATTATCACGACATACAAACGATATTGATTATTTTGCAGCTGCACTTTGTTCAATGGTACGTTATTGTGTTATTTCTTATTTATAAAACATTGAAATAGATTTACTTAATATATTTTTATAGGTCAGTGACAAAAGTTTGAGACTTCCAGAGTCACTTTACAATGTTCCTCCAAAATTTACTCTTTCAGAGTTTCGCGTTCATGTTTTTCCAGTATTAGCATCATTAGCCTCATATCATGCACATTTGGAACCTAATTTGCAACAGCGCTTGATAAAATGTTTGGAGGTAAAAAATGAAATTAATTTTTCAAAGTACTTAAAACATACTGCATATATATGTGTATAATACGGTTTTTTTCGATATATTACTTTTTTAGGTTGGTTTAACAGCAAAATGTGCAAGTCAATGCGTTACTAGTCTTACAACCTGTATTTTGGAAATGCGTGATGCAATGAATAAACTGTTATCAGAAGTACTCTTAAATTTATCGAAAATTTCACTTACTAGACTCCCAAAAGTTTTTGCAAGTTTTATTGGAGATCAGTATATGTCAGTTTTTGCAATTCTATTGCCATACACAAATCCTTTTAAATATGATCATTACACAGTATCCTTGGCACATCATGTAATTGCTGTATGGTTTTTGAAATGCAGATTACCATTTCGAAGAGACTTTGTTAGATTTATTACCACAGTATGTGTATCATGAATTTCTAGTATTATTTTAATTATAAATAAT